TTTGCTGTTTTTGAAGAAAAGAGAGGTGCAACCAGCCAAGAGAGAAATAAACTCTCAAGCCTAGCCCTAATTTGATCTTATAGGGTTTCCACAAATCCTAAACAGATTTCTATGCCTTCTAAAGCTCTAGATTGAAAGGTAATGCCTAAAAAGCTTCCTAATCTCAGAAATTCTAGCAAGACCTAAAGGATTAAAAATGCGACAACGATCAGGGAATTGGGTGTGGGGTGTATAAGCTATGAGGGTGACTCCAAGCATCATCTAGTAAGTCTTCCCAATTTATTTAATTAATTTTCAGTCACATTTAGTGTTTTCTGTGAATTTCTACGAACATATTTTGTACTTAAATTTATGTTTATTGCTTCTGGATGGTGTTTATTTGTTTTGACAGTAAAGGTAAAAATCCTAAGTTGTATTTAGGATTTTAATTTTGATTTACAGCAGAGTATAGTGGCCCATATAAGTGAAATTTAAGTGTATTGAATAAAAGGAAAATAATTTTGTTTAATTTACTACGGTGAGTTCCACATAGCCACTCCTTTCATTTTTGGCGATCATCAGGGCACTTTATATAGCTCGATTTACTTTAATAAGTATGTGTGTATGTATGTATGTATATATGTATGTATGTGTGTATAAAAGTATGTACATATATATGTGTGCGTGTGTGTGTATAGTGCTAAAAGGGACACCTCATGGATAACAAGTAAGCAAATTACTGCTTTCAAATTGAATGGAAGAAATTATCCATCTTGGCCAATTGATGTATTAGGGCAACATACAATGGTTCATGTAGATGGAGCACCAAAATCCCCTAGTTCTACAAATCCAAAACTTGGTGAATGAAGAGCTAATGATGCAATAGTCATGTGAGGGTTACTTAAATCCATGGAACAAGATTTCTGAGAACAACCAAGCAAATATACGATGCCCTTCGAGAGCAATTCTCTAAAAAAGGATAATAGCACGAAGGTATTCAAACTGTTGGGGTTTGAGGTCTTTAAAAGTCTAGAGAGCTTGTAAAAGAAATTACTTATAATGATTTGTGCATTTAAGTGAGGATTTATAGTGGGTCATCTCTTGTTGAGGTTTGAGAGATGCCCAAGACCATTATTTGTAAGACAGGAGTACAAAGGAATGGCCTATGAGAGCGAGGCCCAAATCCTCAACAAAACTACCGCATGGCAGGCACATATGACAACCGCATTTTGAAAAGCAGACCTATATAGAGGAACACGTGTACATGTGCATAGAGAGAGCGTCCTCTGGCACCATAGTGATGTGTGCATTTGATTTGCACTTAGGGGGGAACCAATAATCCACATATTGGGACTCTGATTTCACTATTTATTGGGTAACTTTGACGAGCCAATCATGAGCCACTGCACTTGACTGTGGATCATGGGTCATGTTGGGTGGGCTTGAGAAAACAGTAGTGGATCATAAATTTTGGCACTGGTGAAGTGCCCTGACATTCACTGTTTTTTGACCTATTAGGTATCTATCTACTTCTAAGTTGTATTTCTGCACGTTTTAGATTTTTATGAATCTCCAAAATTATAGTTTTCAAATAAAATTTTGGTACTGTGATTTTTGGATATTTTCAGAATTTTACAATGTTTTTATTTGCTTAAAAACCCTAAAAGGGTATTTCTAGATTTTTCAAATTATGAGGGTATTTTAGTAAATCCATTTTTAAGTGAGACCCACATGGAGGGAGCTAAGGGCCAAGCCTCCCACACGCGTGGAGCCAACATGGGCCACACGCCCCACATATAGGGTTTCTTTATTTTTAAAAATATTACCTAGTTGAAAATCTTCTTTAAGAAAATCTTTTGTGAGATTGTGGTATCTAGATAATCTTGGACCAATTTTTAGTGTTATTTAATCCTTACTATCTTTGTGAGAGAAAAGGAATTCTAAATAATTCTAGAAGAATGTGTACTTTAGACCATGACGGCTGCTCTTGGAGATGAATGGCTCAGATTAATTTTCTCTTTCACCTCATAGATTGTCTAATAATTTTAGATAATGTTGAACTCCCAATCTAGTTGGAACTCCCTAAGCCCTAGAGGCCTATATAAGGCGGGGTTTCCGCCCCTCCAAAGATACATCAGACCTCTCCCTTCTCTCTCTCCTCTCCATGCCCCTCTCTAACCTCTCTCTCGTCACTCTCTAGTCCTCTCCCTCTCTCTCTCTCTTTCTCTCTCTCTCTCTCTCTCTAAAGGGGCACGCCACCCTCTCTAAGTGTCTAGCGTGGCACACCTAACACAGAGAGAAAAAGTGGGTGCACGTGCAGCCCTAAATTTTTATTCTTGGGGAGGTGCCATTTTGGCATATGCCCAAGTGAAAAAGGGTTACTTTGTGAAACCTTAATTGTGACCCTAGCTCTCTTGCCCCATGAGTTTCAAAAAGGGAGTCTCACAAGCACGTCCCTAAGTTTAGATTGGTGAATTTGGCAGGTTCTAGGATCAAGTGCGCCGTTGGTCACGTGATCGGCTAAGCCCTAAGGAGGTAACCCTAGGCAAAAGTCAGTAAACCTTCCTTCGATTATTTGATGTTACTTATTGTTATTGTCTCATTTTATTTTCTAAAATTGCTAGTTTGTATTTAGTTTGAACAAAGTTCATTTTTGGCAGTAAGTTATTAAGATCCTAGCAGTGATTCAAAAAGCAAACCGCCTAGAGCCTAGGCGGCCCACCTTGGCGGTCCACCTAGGCGGTCCAGAAGGCCTGGGCGCTGGCGGCCAATCTGGGTGGGAGTCCCTAGGCGGCGCCTAAGCGTGAGCCCAGCGCCCAGGGCGGCCGCCCAGGGCCTGCGCCCCGCCTAGGCGGTCATCCCTCCTAGGGGAGGAAATTCTGTTTTTTGTTAAAGTTCACAAAAATTGATCAAAACATCACCCATTGATATTAGATTTAATTTTGATGTTTTATAAATATATTTGGGGGTTTTTTAGAAGATTTTGAGTCTTTAGAAGCATCTTTGACTAGGCATCATTTTTCGGATTCGACAGGGCCACCCAGGTTCTGGGCGCCCGCCTGGGAACCCGCCTAGGTGCTGGGCGGCCCGGACGCCCCAAGCCGCCTAGAACCTGCCTAGCGCTTTTTGGAACTATGGATCTAGATTGTAACTAGCCTATTTTATTGTAATTGTGGTACCTATAAGCAGAATCTCCAGTAATTAACAAAAGAAAAGAATGAAATATTTGAATTTACAGCCTGAAATTCTAAATAGCCACTTCTTTCACAAATTACACCAGTGGCATCTAGCACAATCATGAAACCTGCAAATCTTTTATACTTAATACAGTAAGTCAACTTCTTTCAAAAGAACAGAATTGGTTATTTTTCCCCCCGTCAACAGTAAAAGTAGGGCTACATAACCTGGGGTGGCAAGTCATTTTCCTGGGGAAAAAAAAAAGAAGTGAGCAAAAGTTTAACGTCCCAAGATTCATGAAAATTTCATAATTTTTTCTTACACTGTATATATTAGGTTTTCTGTCATGGAACCTTATTTTATGTCAGATCCAATAAGGACAACTCTAATGCTTTTGGGGTAAAAGACTATGGGATTTTTTAATTTTTTTTAGATTTTGTAGTGACTTGTACGATCTTTGGAAAGAAGATAGGATGCAGAAGATGTGGAGGTAGATCTGCCTTCAGGTTTTTGTCCTGTCTTCTTGGATGGAGGCTTGTATAGAAGCAACTATTTATCCCATTTGTGTAATTCTGTATGATTGTTTTTATTTATTTTTTAACATATGTATGGTAGTTTTTTGTTTAAACTTTATATACTAAATCTCTCCATTTACCGAGATCCTCTGTGAACCTGCATTTCTTGACCTCTCAAATCTATATCGTCCATATCCAAAGCGTATTTGTCAACCACTTTCAAGAATAACCCACATGCCAAATGTCACTCCAAGTCCATCTCTCTCTCTTTTTCTCCTCTCTTCATAGGAAAGCATAGACTGAGTTCAGTGAGGAAGGCCTCTCTTGAGAAAGAAAACAACTTGTTCATACTCACTGCTAAGACTAGCAAATACATGTCCTTTGGATTGCAAAAATGGATTTTAATGAGAACACAATGGCGGCTTTAGTACCAAATCTATTTGTGTCCCATAGTACGTGAAGTTTTCTTCCTCTTGGTAGAAATTGACCATGCCATATTCAATGGGTACGTAAAAGAAATATTTATCTCTTTTCTGAATATTGTTAATGAAATTTCTCCTATTTTTGTTTTGTTGTATATAAAATATTAAGCCCAGTACCCACGAGTCTCTCATCAATTTCATTAACCATGACATAACTATGGAGTCATTGACACCCACTCAGTGAAATAGGGATCAATCGCCAGGTAGCTAGCTTGAATCATTGACAAGGACCAATTTACATACGTGTCTCCAAAAGAAAATGGTCACACAATGGGACCACGTAACCATAATATTCCACTCAACTTATCGAGTAATCATTCATAGGCCCAAGTTTCCAGTTGACTAACCATGGAATCTAAGTACATCGAATGACCCAACAGCTGCTAGTATTCCAATCTAGAAGACGACTACTTCTCTATACATCCCAGAATGACAACAATCAGGACAGAAATTTTTATTAGAAAACTCGGAAAATGCATTTTTTTTAAAAAAATTTATCGAGAAGTAGAAAATGCTGAAAATGTTAATTGCGTCATCATCATCCAAGTCTTATCCCAATTAATTAAAAAATGTTAATTACATAAGTGCCTAAATAAAGAGAGGAGAAAATGAATTCAAGTATGGCAGAGCCCCTTATCTTATTATTTGTGGTTGTTCAAAACATAACAACCAATATCAATTTCATAACAGTGAACTACTGAAATATATGATCTAGATGAGTGAAGTTTCAATAGACGCTAAAATAAGCTCCAGAGAAATAATACCAGGAGTTAATTCCAAAAGCTTTTTTATTGAGGTAGATAAATCCCAAGTAAATTGATATATGTCAAATCAGTCAGAAATGAACCTCATGAGTACGAGCATCAGAGACGACAGAAAGAACAGAATTACAGGTTGTGCGGATCATTCTACAATAGGAATGCAACAGAGCATGTGAGGATGTCCTCTCAAGCCTCAATAGATAGATGCATGAGAAGACAGTTTGAGCAAGTGGATAACCCTTGTGCCAGGCTGCCTGCCATATAGAATTTCAAAAAATGGTAAGGAACCATAAAAATCACTGCATGCTTAATATAAGAGCATTCTAAGGCCAACAGTACCTCACAAGACAAAAGGTGGTCCATGACATCAATAATGCATTGTATATCAGTAGTTTTGTCTGTGCTGAATGGGATTGGAGCAGCACCATTCTCAATAGCTTCTTCAACAGAGCGATACCCAAATTTTTCCATGCCAGCATCCATCTTTGGGTCCATTATCTAAATACAAAACCGGTCATAAAAAGACAGGCTCAGTGAGGACAAAAGAGTATGCAGTATTAGCCACAATATCACTTTCAGAACTTTGAGCATTTAGTATCCATTAATCAAGGACATATCAATTGCACCAAGATGTTGGAGTACCTAATAACACGGTCAACGGAATAGCTGAGGTAAAATCTCCCCAAGTCATATGCATTCCCCAATCATATTTTAAAATATATAGCATTGTACAGCCCGCACATTATCAGAACTACTTTTTTTATTGAACCATCAGTACTTCCAGAACTACTTTGACAATGGAGCTCAACACGAAGTTCTAAACCGTATAAAAAGGAAGGTAAAATAACTTATGACTCAGAATTTCAGCAAGTATGGACAATCCGATCAAACTAATTAAAAATTCAAGTTGGTCACGTTTAAGGTATAGCAGTCCATCCAGTTTACATGTAATATGGAGCACTTTGGATGGGTATGAAGTGCACAGTAGAAAGGGAGGTGTAAACATGTAAATGTCTGTTAGTCTGTATATATTAACCTTAATAAACTTCTATTAATTAAATAAACTTTAAATTAGTGATATAAATATATTTTTCAAGATAACATCATGCATGACCAGCTAAACCAATAAGAAATGGATAAGTCGCTCAAAAAAAAAATTACAATTATAGAACCAAGGGCTAGGTTTATATACAGACATGCCAAGATAGGGAGAGTAAAACTCCTCAAGGATGTTTGATTCCCCGTCTATCCTCAATAATAGAGGCAACAGAGATGCTCAGACATAAACACCAAGGATACTCTACACTTGACACCAAATTCATACAACTGAATTTTTTCATGATCAAACTTCATATAAATTAAAACTTACCATCCATGGCGTAAGCCTTGAATACCTTCGAAGGTCCTTTCATCCTTGAACTTGTCAATTGACATTTATTTAAATTTGAACATATGTGACAAACAGATATTCAAAACGCTTCCAAACCATATGCAAAATCTAATCTAATGGACATCCTAATGTATCATGACAGCCAACAAACATTAGAGCACTAAATCACCATTTTTATAGTTATATGATTGCTGGAAATTTCTTGTTAGTTTCAAAACAATCACAAATGTAGGAATTCAAGTCCTTTATCTAAGTAGAATATTTTCTAAGAGAATAAGATTATCCAAAGTGGACACTGTAAGTAAATATACCAAGTCATGTTAACACCCAAGATTTAAGAAAGAAGAACACTTCAATGCTAATATTGTACAACTTTTAACTTGAAACATCAAAACCTTCGCTAGTAGTTAATTGGTTTGAGTAATGAGAATATACTTGTAGCGTATGATGTCAATAGTGCAGTATTGTAGATGGTAAAGATACTTGTCCATCAATTTTCCAAATCAATGAAAACAGTTAACGTTAAAGAAAAATGAAGTTATTAACTCTAATAACTGTAAGATTTAACATTATATTTTAAATGCATTACCATTCAGCAACATTGAAAAGTTTCAAGCAAAGACTCAGTTTTTTGCTCGGCAGATTTCTGCAGCTTTTGAGAAAATTTACAGTGTACTTTGCAATGAAAAATTTCATATAAGGAGTCAACCTTATATAAACTTAGGGGTAGTTCCAATAGGGGATGGGATGAGGGAAAGTAGACTTTCGTGGTCTGGCTATACGCAGCGTCGACCTAGAATAGCACCAGTCAAGAGGGCAAGGGCAATGGGAAGGCCCAAAAGGATAAGGAGAAAGCCCAAAAAGACAAGAGTAAGCCCCAAAAAGACAAGTGTAAGGCCTAAAAAGACATGGCTGGAAGTAGTGAGAAGAGATATAGTGACTTGTTGTCTGATTGAGGGTATATGCTTTAACAGAGTGAAATGCCAAAACAGAATTTGTGTAGTTGACCCCAAATAGTTGGGCTAACGCTCTGATGATGATGAATGTATCAACCTTAGACTATAGAAGTCAGTTGCACCTCGACAATCCACCAAAAAAAATTGCTCCAATGCTAGAATAACTTCCAATTGATCATCTCAACTCAAGATGTGTGGTCATGGAAAAAAGGATTCTATGTCATGAAGATAGTTTTTTTTTAGAATTGTTAACATTGTATTACTAACACAGTAATAGTTACAAAATTGTGATGAACTAAAGACTCCCTCTAATTATGGGTGTCGTTCAGTAAAAAATACATTAGTCAGTCATGTATAAAAAGGCTTATACGATTCTCCCATGTATTAAGATTTACAATGGTTTTATAAAAAATAACATCGGAGTTGTTGGTTGCTCGCGTGGAAGCAAGGCTATGTAGTGCGGTTGTGGTCTTGAACACCCCCGACACTTGTCTGGCTTGGGTTTCCAAGTGAGCAACCATCGAAATTTAGCTTGATGCTGCCCTCTGGTGGCGGTTGCCAATTGCTAGCTCTTGAGATTTTTGGTGGCCTACGGTGGAGGACATTTTCCCATTGGGAAAGTAAGATGTTCCTTGATAATACCGAGAAAATTTTGTGGTTGGCGGCCCAAAACGAGGTCAGCGAGGTAACCTTATGGAAGAGAGCTCGTGGATGGAGTTGAAGTCCATTAAAAATTATGTTATTCCTTTCTATCCATACTGTCCATATGGTAGCAGCCACCGTGGCCTTCAATAAGGTTTTACAGGCCAAAGGCAACTGAGCTCCCAGATTGTAAGATTTAAGGGCCCTGACCGTGGGTGGTGTGACCCATTGGATGCCAAAGAGTTGTAGCACAAGGCTCCACAGCTTATGGGTAAATTTGCAATGAATAAGAGGTGTGGGTGGGTTGGTTTCCTCCTCACAAAAACACAAAGCGCATCTATTAGGGATCGAAATCCCTCTTTTTTTTAATTGGTCCACCGTAAGTGCTCTTTGGGAACAGGCTGGCTATCCAATTGAAAAACTGAATCTTAGGTGGGGCAATGGTTGACCATACTTTTGACAAGATTGAGGTGGGGGAGAGGAAAAGTGGGGGGTTGGCTGAGGCTTTTATAGAAGGAGGCTACTATGAAGAGGCCTGAAGGGGAAAGCTCCAAACTATAGTATCTCTCCCATTTGTTGGGAAGAAACGAGAGGAGAGAACCATCGAAAGTAGTTGGAATTGGTTGGTTTCCTCATCTGAGACGTTTCTTTTGAACGAAGGATTCCAGACTCTCCGTCCGCCTGAAAGTGGCACTTCCTCGGCGATAGTGGAGTTTTCGTTAGAGGCAAGTGAGTAAAGGGTTCGGAATGCCTAACACAGTGGAGAGTTTCCTACCCATAAATCTGTCCAGAATTTTACCCTATGTCCGTCTCTAGGATAAAATCTTATGCGTCTTCTGAACTGTGACAGGAAGGAGGCTAAAGATTTCCAAGCCCCTGACGCTCTGTCTGTGGAGCCTCTCTGGTACCCATGTTCCATCTTGGATTTTGTATTTGCAACGTAGGACCTAAGCCCAGAGAGACTCAGGTTGAGAAGCTAGGTGCCACCACCATTTGCCTAGGAGGGCTGTGTTTTGTTTACTTAGGGTCCGAATTCCTAAGCCCCCCTACTTTCTTGGTAGGCAAATGTTTTCCCAAGCTACAAGATGGAATTTGGTCTTCTCTGCCTGTTCAGACCATAGAAAATTTCATATAAGTTGTTTTATGCGGTTGGCCACTTGTGCAGGCATCTGGTATAGGGACATAAAGTAGACCGAGGTATTTGCCAAAGTGGCTTTGATCAGGGTAACTCTTGCTGGGGAAAGGTATCTACCTTTCCAAGATGCTAGGCGTCTCTCAACTTTGTCTAAAACTGGAGACCAGAGCCTCTTTTTTGGTTTCCCCAGTCCCAAAGGAAGGCCCAGATATGTTAGTGGAAGGTCTTCCACTTTACATTCCTAGTCTGGGATGAGGGCTCTTACCTCTGCATTTGTCATGGCTACTCCCATCATTTTAGATTTCTCCATGTTTACTTTGAAGCCTGTTGCTTTCTGAAAGCACAAGAGGAAAAGTTTGAGATTGTAGACTTCATTTGATGTAGCATCAAGGAAGACCAAGGTATCGTCTGCGTAGTGCAAATGAGACACCATTAGACCCTAATTACTACTTTTGAAGCCGAAAAGGAGGCCAGATTGGTAGAGATGGGATCAGGATCTAGAGAATACTTCCACTGCAATGGCAAAAAGGAAGGGGGAGAAAGGATCCCCTTGTCGGAGTCCCCTCGAGGCTAGGAAGTAGCCTTTCGGTGTCCCATTGATGATAATGGAAAAGTGGGGATGAGAATAACATCCTCTCATCCAACTCCTCCATCGCTCCCCCATTCTAACCATGGACTCTTCCAAGATGGACCAGTCTACATGGTCATAGGCTTTCTCCCAATCTATTTTGAAGATTAAGCTTTCTTTGTTAAATGTCATGTGTGAATGCACTCATCAGCCACCAAGACCCCATTTAAGATCTGTCTATCTTGGATGAAGGCTGATTGAGATCACAGAAGGGAGGACCTATTGTAGTCTAGAGGCGAGGACCTTGGCTACTATTTTGTATGTCGAGTTCAAAAGGCTAATGGGGCGGAAATCCTTGATTTCCTTTGCCCCTTCAACTTTTGGAACTAGGAATATGAAGGTGGCATTGATTGCTTTTGTGAATGATTCCCCTTTGGAAGAATTCCTCAAAGAAATCCATGAAGTCAGGATGAAAGGTGCTCCAAAAAATTTTAAAGGGTGTAATCGGGAAACCGTCTGGACCGAAAGCCTTGTCTTTAGCTAGGGCATTAATAATTTCATCTTCAGAGAAGGGTTCAGTGCTGGTTGGGCCAAGTAGTTGTTATTGACTTTAAGCATTGCAATAGTATTGTCCCCTCTACGGCAATTAGCTATTCGATGGAAAAAGGTTGTGTCTTGGTTGCCCACTTTTAACCACTTTATCCTTGAACTCTGAAACCAGTAGATCTCCTCTTTTTTAAGAGTAGACACGTAATCCAGTTTGGACTGGGTTCTGAGGTTAAGTTCGGAGGTGTCCAAAGGTCTGGA